AACAGAATAGATTTTATTAGTTTTGAAGTAAACTTATTCTTTGAAAAGTTTATTTAATTATAAATAATGAATACAAGATTGTCTAAATCATTTTAAGTAAATTCAGCTTTACTAAACTGTATATGTTCGTAATTTAATTTTATTCTGAAACAAGTTTTACCAGTTAGAATGCTGATAAAATGATTCTGTGGATGTGTAAAAAGCCAATACTATTGATATTATTTCCCACTATTGGGATTCAAGCGTTGATATTTTTTGCTTATTCATAAAATACGCGCATCATACTCGATCGTCATAGATAACACAACATCTCTGGTTTTGATAGAAGCACATAAAAAATCGACAGACTGGAACCTAGGCTAAAATCAATTATGTATAATTCCGGAATATCCCAAGAGAAAAAATTGAATGTAGGTTTCGTCCCGAGACACATTTAGATTTTAATTAAGCGAATTATTATACGGTCCAGAACTGTGTGAAGTAAATAGAAGCAAATGGTATTCAGAGAAAAACTGTATGTAAACTAGTCAAGACGTGTAACACTATAATTGAATTAAATTTTCCTGTAAAAAAATAAATCTTTAGTATTCACAAATGAGATATTTCAGGAAATGATACGGTATATATGCAATTTCCAAACCTTTGGCTTAATCTGTCTAGAAGAAATGATTTTCTTAACGGATATACGAATAGTATTTTTAATTTAGAACTTTGTTTTTGCCAATATTGTAATAATGAAAAGGTATAGTTCAAATGCGTTGCAATATTATCATGACTACAAGAGCGATCAGTGATCACATGTGTCGCCTCATGATGGTCAATTTCATGTTGGGGCAAGTTTTGTGACAGATGGACAGACAGACGGACAGTGCACAACTAGACATGGTACTGATCATTCCTGTAAAGTTTTGATAAAATTGCACCAGTAATTTATGAGGAGTAGTCCGGACAAGCTTTTGTGTATCTGGCAACACACAGAAAAAAACACCTTTTTATCATAACTCGGCCAAAAATCATTCAACCGGAAAACCCGTGCAATATGCGCAAGGACTTGAGCTACAGATCAATCCTGTAAAGTTTCATTGAAATTGCATTAGTGGTATAAGAGAAGTACGTAGTCCGGACAAACTTTAAAAATAACTAGAACTGCCACTATCATGGCGTGAATACTCCCGCATACCACTTTGTCAGAATCAACAGTGGCCATTTAAAGCTCAAGGACAACCTCCCTGCCAAATCTGAGGTTACTAAGCCAGTGCACTGCTAAGTTATGTATTCTACATGCTTCAAATGTGAAAATGTCAAAAACAATACACTGCGGACAGGCATTCTTAAGCAATTGAGGGGAAAAGCTTTTTTTTGTCAAGGTCCCTGTGACCTTTGACCCAGTGACCTCAAAATCAATAGGGGTCACCTATTAATCATGACTAACCTCCATGCCAAATATGAAGACTGTGGGTCAAAGGAATCTTAAGTTATTGGGCAGACAAACTTTTTGAAGTTAAAGTCCATGTGACCTTTGACCCAGTGACCTCAAAATCAAAAGGGGTCATCTACTAATCATGACTAACCTCCATGCCAAATATGAAAACTGTGGGTCAAAGGAATCTTAAGTTATTGGGCAGACAAGCTTTTAATAATCAAGGCCCCTGTGACCTTGACCTTTAACCTGGTGACCTCAAAGTCAATAGGGGTCATCTACTAATCATGACTCACCTCCATGCCAAATATGAAAACTGTGGGTCAAAGGAATCTAAAGTAATTGGGCGGACAAGCTTTTTGAAGTCAAGGCCCCTGTGACCTTGACCTTTGACCAGGTGACCTCAAAATCAATAGGGGTCATCTACTAATCATGACTAACCTCCATGCCAAATATGAAGACTGTGGGTCAAAGGAATCTTAAGTTATTGGGCGGACAAGCTTTTTGAAGTCAAGGCCCCTGTGACCTTGACCTTAGACCTGGTGACCTCAAAATCAATAGGGTTCATCTACTAATCATGACTAACCTCCATGCCAAATATGAAGACTGTAGGTCAAAGGAATCTTAAGTTATAGGGCGGACAAGCTTTTTGAAGTCAAGGTCCCTGTGATCTTGACCTTTGACCTGGTGACCTCAAAATCAATAGGGGTCATCTACTAATCATGATTAACCTCCATGCCAAATATGAAGAAGACTGTCGGTCAAAGGAATCTTAAGTTATTGGGCGGACAAGCTTTTTGAAGTCAAGGTCCCTGTGACCTTGACCTTTGACCTGGTGACCTCAAAATCAATAGGGGTCATCTACTAATCATGACTAACCTCCATCCCAAATATGAAGACTGTGGGTCAAAGGAATCTTAAGTTACTGGGCGGACAAGAAAAAACCTAAGGACGGCCGGACGGACAAGCTGATTCTGTATACCCCCTTACAACTTTGTTGTCCAGACAAACTTTAAAAATAAAAATTATTAAAGGGCCATAACTCTGACAAAAATCATTAATCCGGTAAATGCTTACAATATGCACAACTAGACTTGGTACTGATCATTCCTGTAAAGTTTGGATGAAATTGCACCTGTAGTTTATGAGGAGTAGTCCGGACAAGCTTTTGTGTATCTGGCAAACACAGAAAAAAACACCTTTTTATCAAAGGGCCATCAGACTCGGCCAAAAATCAATCAACCGGAAAACCTGTGCAATATGCGCAAGGACTTGAGCTACAGATCAATCCTGTAAAGTTTCATTGAAATTGCATTAGTGGTATAAGAGAAGTAGTCCAGACAAACTTTAAAAATAAAAATTATTAAAGGGCCATAACTCTGACAAAAATCATTGAACCGGAAAATGCTGACAATATGCACAACTAGACTTGGTACTGATCATTCCTGTAAAGTTTGGATGAAATTGCACCAGTAGTTTATGAGGAGTAGTCCGGACAAGTTTTGTGACGGACAGACAGACAGACGACGGAGAAGTGATCCCTATATGACGCCACTACTCCGTAGAGGCGACACAAAAATGCATTTGAACGACAAACCTTATAATACTAAAATGCAAGAAAGAATTAATATGCATTTCCATTCTTACATTAAAACAAACCTTTATCATCGAAGCATGCATACCATACATTTACAACCCCAACAACGGACATTCTGCATCAATCACTTGAACTAGGAAATCATGTTGAGTGAAGTCAGACAGCAGAACTGAGACAAGCAGCTAACATCAATGAAAGCATACGCTATAGGAGCAAGAAACAATCACATTAATCTTGTCATTTTCTTTAAGTTAGATGTCACCATAGAGGATAAATGTCCAATCTGCTTTTTATATCTTTGAAACTTTTTGGCAATGCACCTTGTTAAGCTTTTTATTTATTAACCAATTTAAGTATGAGAGTTTTTACCCCATTTGCTATTGATACCTTTTAATCTATTGGCATTTGCTCATAGAATCATTGTGTGCGGTTTTATTAAAAGTAACAAATGATGACAGCAAACAAGGTATAAAATCAGTTAAAAAAATCAAACAATAACAAGGTACGTTGCCAAAACTATTTACTTATTTATGTATACATAGAAAACAAACCTTTTCTAGAATGTTCTTATAAATGAATTGAATAATGACCTTTAACTTATCAAAGAGCGAATAAATAAATAGAACTATTTTAATTTATTAGCTTGTTGCCTTTGCTATCCACAAACTTGTACCTGCATCATAACTTGTAGTTCTTGGTGTATTGTCTTCATACATGGCCACAACAACCCTTGGGACAAGACCTTTCAGTAGACCACACTAACCTTGACCTTCATCCATAAATGACCTTGACCTTCAAGATCAAATGTCCAAATTTTGCTTGTTCTTGCTATTATTGGCTGTAACTTCGTTGTTTTTGAATGGATTGTCTTCAAACTTGAACATAATAATATTCAAGGATAGCCCTTTAAAATAACCAGACAGACCTTGACTTTCATTCATAAATGACCTTGACTTTAAAGGTCAAATTTTTGAAATTTTCATTCTTTTGGCTGTTACTGGCTGTAACTTTGCTATTATTCTATGGATTGACTTCATATTATAACAGAACATTCTTAAGGACAAGACCTTCATGTTTGTTTGTTTCATTTTACGCCTTTTTCCAACAGTATTTCAGTCATATAGGCTGGTAGTTTCCTAACCATCGTTCCTGGAGAGTAACACCAGTACTAGAATTCTTTCCTCCGCGCTAAACTACCAAAGCATCTCCCGGGGATCGAACCCACGCCAGAGGTAACTGGATTACCTTCATGTTTATCAAACTCAAATTGACCTTGGCTCTTTTATGACCTTGATGGTAAAATTATTGAATTTTCACTGATTTGTGCATTAAATGACCATATATATTTATTGTTGTGTGTATATATATAATATAGAACCATCCGCATGGGACGCAACAATAATCATATACCAGTTGTTGGCTGCAACAATTGGGCTGCACCATGGGGATAAATATACATATATAATGTTATGTATATATATATATCCCCATGGTGCGGCCAACAACTGGTATATGATTATTGTTGCGTCCCGTGCAGATGGCTCTTTAATAACTGCCGTAAACTGTTTTATGTTTTCTTATATAAGGCCGCTTCGCTATGCAATCTGTTCATGTACTTTTGAGTAATAAAAGTCAGCTTTATAACAGCCTTGTGTTATTTTGCTTATGCAATTATAATAATTCACACCACAGACATAGACATATGCTGTATCATATATGCATTATTTAAATATGCTTACTTTGAATAATGCTTAATAATCAGACACATACTGACAGGATGCGACCACAAACAAATGCTTATTAATAAAGCACTTAAAATAAATAGGCCTATGCAAGACTCATTTACTGGTACCAATTTCTAGTCTTTCAGCTTTTATGCGACTCGAATACGGACTGACGGACATCAGACTACACATTATGGACTCCGCGGTTAATTGAATAACTATAGAAATATAAGTAAAATAAACAAATAACATAAGAATGTTCAAGTTTAACTATTTAAATTTATTTATGTAAGCCCTTTACAATTAACCTTGCGCAATTGTAAAATCCGACGACAATAATATGAAATATCTCTAATTTCAATATATTATCATGCTTACAAAATTAACATACATGTATATGTTTATATTTAATGATATGTAAGGACTTACAACAAAACCATATTAACACCCATAAATGTGTTTAATTTGTTTTGATTAGCAAATAACAGGTTACGCTCATTTTTAATACATAGATAGTCCTACAAACAATATGCTAAAAAATTCATTGTTTAGCACATTTTATGTTACAATCTCTATGCTAATACATGTAAATTTACAGTTATGCATGTTTATACTTATCTATATACAATTGTAAAACAAACAAGCAAATAGTTCACAATGAGCTCCAAAAGTCTAAAAATTGAAAATCAAACAAGGATCAATTTGGTCACTTAAAACAGAAAATATATATACAAGAAACATGGCAATGCCATGAAACCAGGTTTTCAATAATCACCATTGTAGATAAATATGTTGTATTTGAAATACAAATACAAGCAACAAACAATGTAACTATGTGCAATGTAAAACATGAATAATGTAGGAGGAATTGCCACTGAAGAAGTGTTCACTATATATTCTGTATAAGGAAAAAAACAAAGGGCCATAATTAGGTCAAAAATTATCCAATCACAAAACCCAGACAATATGTGCCAGGGCGCTTGATGACAAAGCTTCTGTGAAATTTTGAACAAAATACGTTGAGAAATGTAGGACGAGTTCAGCACAGAAGAATTTGTTCACTATATATTGATAATTCTGTATAATGAAAAAAAACAAAGGGCCATAATTAGGTCAAATATTATCCAATCGCAAAAAACACCGACAATATGCGCGAGGGCACTTGATAACAAAGCTTCTGTGAAAGTTTGGTCAAAATCCGTTGAGAAATGTAGGAGAAGTTGCGCACGATAGAAATTGTTCACTATATATTCTGTATAAGGAAAAAAACAAAGGGCTATAATTAGGTCAAATATTACCAAATCACAAAACCCTGACAATATGTGCCAGTGCACTTGATGACAAAGCTTCTGTGAAAGTTTGAACAAAATCCGTTGAGAATTATAGAGGGAATTCAGCACAGAAGAAATTGTTCACTATATATTCTATATAAGGCAAAAAACAACAAAGGGCAATAATTAGGTCAAATATTATCCAATCGCAAAACCCCGAAAATATGCCCCAGGACACTTGGTGACAAAGGTTCTGTGAAAGTTTGGTCAAAATCCATGGGGAAATGTAGGAGGAGTTGCGCACAGAAGAAATTGTTCACTATATATTCTTTATACGGAAAAAAAACAAAGGGCCGTAATTGGGTCAAATATTATCTAATCGCAAAACCCCGACAATATGCCCCAGGGCACTTGATGACAAAGCTTCTGTGAAAGTTTGGTCAAAATCCGTTGAGAAATGTAGTAGGAGTTGCGCACAGAAGAAATTGTTCACTATATATTCTATATAAGGAAAAAAAAACAAAGGGCCATAATTAGGTCAAATATTATCCAATCGCAAAACCCGGACAATATGCGCCAGGGCACTTGATGTCAAAGCTTCTGTGAAAGTTTGGTCAAAATCTGTTGAGAAATGTAGAAGGAGTTGCGCACAGAAGAAATTGTTTACGCCCGCCCGCCCGCCGACATACCTCAATCTAATAACCAGGTTTTTTCCTTCGGAAAACCTGGTTAATAACTGGTGCTAAAGAAATATACTAGGAATAAATGTGAAAACCAAACTCTAGATTTAGCCCAATTTGAGTTATTAGAGTTTAAATGCTTTTTATTTTTGTTCATTTTGAACAATTACAGTACTATCAACAGGACAGCTTGCTCAACTATACACAGTACTGGATAATGCAGAATTGTCTAACATTTAAAAGGGCAATAATACAGATTCATGCTATAGTTATGATACCTGGATAGTAATAATACAGATTCATGCTATAGTTATGATACCTGGATAGTGACCAATTACTAATAAGTAATGTTAAGGTCAAATCCACCCCTCAGGAGATACCAGCTTTCATGCAAAAACCAACAATTTTTAAGTCGCCAAAGTCGTTATTGAAAAAGACCTTCATCAAATAGTATAAATATCTCAAAAATTACATTCCCACCCTGTCATGTCAAAAAACCTCAGTGGAGTCCCTTTAACTATACAAATTGATACTAAAGTATTGTACACATTAATCGTTTTGGCATAATTATAATTTCTTTTTAATTCAATTTTTTCATCTTTACAATATAAAATAAAGAAGGAATCTCTAAAATATAACAAAAGATGTTTGTAAAAACATGTATGCCCTTACGCAGCTAATAAGTCATGTGACCAGGTAACCGTAATTTTTACTACTGACCAAGTGACACCCATAAACAATTGAATTCATCAACTGGCCATGATCAATCTTCATATCAAGATTTGAAGTCCCCAGTCCCATTGGTTTTAAATTAATGATCAGAGACAGTTTGGTGTATTGACTGATTGACAGTTCAACCAACCAACACATACAAAGCAATATACCCCCACTTCTTTGAAGGTAGGCCCAACAAGCAAATTTTTGTTCTTTATCTAAATTAAAACGTGTATGTACAAATTTATATATACAAGTCACTTTTCCTAGATATCATCTCACAGTATTCATAATATATACAATTATATTTTTATCATATAATCTGATACACAGTATATCATATAACTGATAACACACATGCAATATCAACAATTCCCGTGTCCTATATCTAAAATTACTGGTATTAATATCTAACATTTCCTTGTCCTATATATCATATAACTGGTATTTATTTATACCATTCCCTTGTCCTATATATCATATAACTGGTATTTATTTATACCATTCCCTTGTCCTATACATTATATCACTGGTATTTATTTATACCATTCCCTTGTCCTATATATCATATAACTGGTATTTATTTATACCATTCCCTTGTCCTATACATCATATAACTGGTATTTATTTATACCATTCCCTTGTCCTATACATCATATCACTGGTATTTATTTATACCATTCCCTTGTCCTATATATCATATACTGGTATTTATTTATACCATTCCCTTGTCCTATATATCATATAACTGGTATTTATTTATACCATTCCCTTGTCCTATACATCATATCATTTGTATTTATTTATACCATTCCCTTGTCCTTTATATGATATAACTGGTATTTATATATACCATTTCCTTGTCCCTATACATCATATCATTGGTATTTTATACATACCATTCCCTTGTCCTATACATCATATAACTGGTATTTATTTATACCATTCCCTTGTCCTATACATCATATCATTGGTAATTATTTATACCATTCCCTTGTCCTATTTATCATTTAACTGGTATTTTATTTATACCATTCCCTTGTCCTATACATCATATCATTGGTATTTATACATACCATTCCCTTGTCCTATACATCATATATAACTGGTATTTATTTATACCATTCCCTTGTTGTCCTATACATCATATAACTGGTATTTATTTATACCATTCCCTTGTCCTATATATCATATCATTGGTAATTATTTATACCATTCCCTTATACTATTTATCATATCACTGGTATTTATTTATACCATTCCCTTGTCCTCTACATCATATAACTGGTATTTATTTATACCATTCCCTTGTCCTATACATCATATAACTGGTATTTATTTATACCATTCCCTTGTCCTATACATCATATCATTGGTAATTATTTATACCATTCCCTTGTCCTATTTATCATATAACTGGTATTTATTTATACCATTCCCTTGTCCTATACATCATATCATTTGTATTTATACATACCATTCCCTTGTCCTATACATCATATCATTGGTATTCATTTATACCATTCCCTTGTCCTATACATCATATCAATGGTATTTATTTATACCATTCCCTTGTCCTATACATCATATCATTGGTAATTATTTATACCATTCCCTTGTCCTATTTATCATATAACTGGTATTTATTTATACCATTCCCTTGTCCTATTTATCATATAACTGGTATTTATAACATACCATTCCCTTGTCCTATACATCATATCATTGGTAATTCATTTATACCATTCCCTTGGTCCTATAACATCATATCAATGGTATTTATTTGTACCATTCCCTTGTCCTATTTATCATATAACTGGTATTTATTTATACCATTTCCCTGTCCTATACATCATATCACTGGTATTTATATATACCATTCCCTTGTCCTATTTATCATATAACTGGTATTTATATATACCATTCCCTTGCTATACATCATATCATTGGTATTCATTTATACCATTCCCTTGGCCTATACATCATATCATTGGTATTTAATATATACCATTCCCTTGTCCTATTTATCATATAACTGGTATTTATTTATACCATTCCCTTGTCCTATACATCATATCAATGGTATTTATATATACCATTCCCTTGTCCTATTCATCATATAACTGGTATTTATTTATACCATTCCCTTGTCCTATACATCATATCATTGGTATTCATTTATACCATTCCCTTGTCCTATACATCATATCATTGGTATTTATATATACCATTCCCTTGTCCTATATATCATATAACTGGTATTTATATATACCATACTCTTGTCATTTATATCATATAACTGGTTTTTTTTTTATACCATTCCCTTCTCCTATTCATCATTAAAAACTGGTTTTAAAGTGCTTTTGGGGCAACTGTAAAATTTGAAACCGATTTTCACTTTTGAACAGTTTTTTTTCGGGCCCTTTAAAGGATTTTGGGTTTGCTTTAACTTTTTAAGTTTGGGGGGAAATTGAGTCCCACTCAAGAAGTGAAAGGGGAGCAGGGATTTTTGAAATTTATTCATTATCCCTCATGTACAGACTCAATCAAACCAAGTCTGCAATTCTCATGTAATTTTGTTGGATCACTTTAGTTTCCAGATTTTTATATACCTTTTTTTTTCCCGGGAAATTAAAATTATCCCTTGCCATAAAAACATATAACTGTAATTTAATATAAAATAAATTCCCCAATTTTTAATATCAATAAACGGGGTTTTTAAATTTTAATCCCATTCCTTTTTCCCAAATGTTTTCTTTATAACGGGTTTTTATTCACTTAAAATTTTTTTACTTTCTTCTGATTTCAAACATTAATTAAAAAATCTGTTTAATTTTTTTCTTTTAAATTTACTCATTCTTTAAATTTATTTTTTTTTTTAAAATTTTTTTTAAACAATTTTTTTTTTTTTGGGGCCATTATAAAAAAACATAATTTTTCAAATAAATTTATTTTCCTCTCACAAACTGCCATGATCTTTAAAAAAAAACCCTTTTACCTTTTTTAAGGGATAAATATTGTCTTTTTATTTTCACTGTTTTCTTTTTTTTTATTTTTTTATAAATGAAATCTGAATATTAATTTTCTTCAATTTCAATATTAATATTAAAAGTACTTCAAAAAATTGAAATTTAAAATGACCAGAAATAAAGAAATAACAAACTCAATATTTAAGATGATTTATATATCTATAATAACGTAATATATTTATTCTCTAACTTTACAACAGTATGCAAATAACTCGTCATAAGTATCACTTTTTTGATGAAAAAAAATAAATAAAAAAATTTGATATATATTGTGTCTTTTAACATGAAATAATTTAGATTAAACACTATGTTAATTTACATAAATCCTATATGTTAAAATTTCAATCCTTTTTGTGTTGAAAAATAGCAAATTTATCACCTCTTTTAACATGGAATAATTAAGTTAACATTATGTTAACTACATGGATACTTTATCCCTTTTTTGTTGAAAAGTCAAACCAAAAATCATCACATTTAACATGAAATATTTGATCCTTATCTTTTATATACTGTTTAGCATCCCTTCCCTTCCCTCTGGTAAGTCCTTGTAATGAGAATATTGACCCATCAACATCAAACTCCTCACCATCTCCTGTTATATAACCGTAACATACACCCACATCTACAGTATGAGGAAAACTAGGAAGGCTATCAACAAACTTCTGCCATGTTGTCAAACTCATTGTGACATAAACAAGTCTAATGTGCTTTAAACTCTTCATCTCTAAAGGTAACTGTATTATATTGTCAGTAAACCTACAAAAATCTAAGTGAAGCTCACTGAGATTGTGTAACAATGGTAATACTGTAACTAGTCTCTTTGTTATGTTGGTATGATATAATTGAGATTCATTGCTATAAATCCTCCTTGCAATACAAGCTTTTTTTAATTTGTTAGATTTCTTATAATATCAAATATTTTATCATAACTACTATCTTTCAATTTTTCAAAAATCTAAACTATTTCAACGGCTTGTAGTATTAGCATTATCACACTAACAGTATTACAAATCAAGGTACTCAAGTTTTTGATGTTTTTGATAAATTTTACCATTATGCCTGCTTCCCACACTCACATTTAACACAATCAAGATGTATTTGTTCAAGATGACTGGTTCTCTCAAGAAAATTAACAGAATTGTTAGCTGTATCATCAATGAACTTATTGTTTTAAAACTCATTCTTATTGCTACAAGATTGATTCATACTAGTTAGTAACTAACAGCTGTTTTTAAAACACAGGTAATACTGCTTGTCAAGTTGGTCACTGGGTAAGCCATCAAGAGTCAGAGATTTTAATGTTTAAAGTGTTTACTTTTAATTGTCTCAGAAACCACAATTGCTTAATTCTCATCAATCATCTGTTGTTATTTAGTCAGAGGTGATTACTATCACTTTGTGTACTTAATAAACTTTGTAATTCAGATTCATATTTTATTGCAATTTTTTCAAGATGATAAAACATTGGTAAATATTTTGTAAATTTAACATTGTTTGTGTTGAAAAGTCATCCCACCTTTAAAAGACAAGAAATAGGGAAACAGGAACAATTTGTTTTGATCAAAAAATGTACAAACAAAAATCACAAAAAGCTATTTCCCTTTTATAAATGAAACCCAAAACTCCTACATAAAAAACAGTAAAACTTCCTATTTTCTACATGTTTCATTTAAATTTTTCCCTAGTCCAAAAATAAGCTTTTTAATACAGTAATACAACGATTTATTCCCTTTTCTAAACTCGGGATTTTTAAATTTTAAAAGGTTCTAAATTTAAAAAGGGCACTTTTTATTGGTTTTTCCCTGATTTCCCGAAAAACAAGAGCCCTTTTTACACATTTTCCTATATTTTAATTTTTAAAAAGTGTTGCTAATCCCAGGGTTCAAGACCAAATAGCCCTTAATGAACAACATTTGACTGCTCTTTAATATTCATTTACTGTTGAACATTTTCCCGAAAAAGCCCTCATTTAACAAACTGAATGCACTGGCTTTTGCAAGATGCCAACATTTTCGTTTGTGTACTATCTGACAAACTTATTCATCTTTTTAAAATTGATACCAAAATGTTCACTGGGCAGCCAGAAAATTCCCCTCTGCATTGATTTGGTGAATGAAAGAGTAACAAATGATTATTAGGCTTGGATACATAAAGAGGGAAGAACATTTTTCTTCTGTCAAAATTTCCCCAGTTTCAAGACAATTATTTCCACGCCACTTCAGTGATATTTTTCAAATCATCAAACAACAGATTTGTCAAATGTTTAAGGACTTATCTTTTGAAATAATTGGAAAAACAAATTTGTTTTCCTCCCCATAAAAGGGCCCCCCAAGCGTGACACACCATATATAAGATTTACTATTTAAATTCTACATATCTCTACATCTTTAAATACTGGGAGGAGTTCAAAATTCGAGAAAATTTTAATCATTCGTTTTTAAATTTCCCAGGGGTTTTATTGAAAAACCAGGGGGGAAAAAAAGTTCTAAATAAACCCGTGTAAATAGCACACCTTATTTTTTTCTATTTACCATCACCCCATAGACCCAAATTTAATTCTGCCCGGGATAATTGGGTACCTGTTTTTAGGCCCCCCCACAGACGGATCCCCAACTCTTTTCCACCCCAAATGGATCTAAAAGATTTTGTTTAATTTCGTTATTGGGTTTTTTTAATCATTTCTTTTTCAGTTTTTTTTCAAACCCCTTTTAAAATTTTAATAAATTTATGAATTCTCCCATTACTTACTCTCAAAAACTGTGAATTTTTCCATGGCTTGCCGTGTAGTTAACAATGGTGGTTACTTTCTTTTAAAGTCACGTTCTGGGGAA